CCACGTGCCCCTAGAGGTGTGTTGTGGGTAAAAAATTTTAAAATATGCAATAAGCGAATATTTAGTCAGGGGCACTGACCTCTATTCCTTTAGAATGCCAGACACAAAAATGACAACAGCCGATACAGCCATAGCCGTCTGGTGTGAATGCATCAAAATTGTATCTACTTTTTCTCTCTTTTTTTCTTCAGATGGGCAAAACCTATATACTTTGGTGCGCTGCAGAATTTCAGTGATTAGTTTATCTGTGCCATGAGATGAACACGGTTGAAAATCGCTGGACCAGGATGAGGAGAGGAGAATCGGATTCATTCAGATCCTACTGACCGGCTCCAGGACTCACAGACACATTCCATTCCGGTCTCACCAGAGCCCTCGGGGAAGGTGTTATCCGTCACCCCTGTCACAGCGGAGGGAGCCGAGGCATACGGCCAAGGACAGGGCCTGACACGCAGGAGATGCTCAGCAAATACTATTTATTGTCTGGAATCGGAGGGAGAAACGTTCGGTGGGGGAGAGAAGGGATGAGATGAAGCCGACCAAGTTCCTCATCCCCACCAGAGCTCTCCCGGGTCTCTGAGCTCTTCTGCGAGGCGCGGCCCTCCCGGGAAGTACGAATGGGAAGAGGCATGCAGCACAGGGTTGGGCCGTCCCACTCGCCAATTCTGGATAACCGAGCCCCTCCCCCACCACCACTTTTTAGCACCCGCTAGGAAATCTCTCCAGGACAACCCCCCAGACAGCCCGGGGTGGTCTGGCGTCCCACCAGGCTGCAGGGGAGTGCCAAGGCACGCGGGGTCCCGGGAGGGCCTTCGCGGCAGCACGGCGCACCAGCAGGTCTCCGCGACCGGTCCCTCCACCACTCCAGCGCCTGCCAGGGACGCCAGTTCCCTGCTCAGCCTGGCGCAGCCGGGCTCCGGGGGCTGGAGCGCGCCGACGACACCAGCGGGTCCTGCGCCCCCAGAGTGGGCTGCCTGTGCGGCGGCCTGGACGCGCCAGCGCCGCTCCACAGCCCTTCCCCCCAGCGCGGCCAACCGCCTGGGGGATCAGCCCACCCCTACAGCGGCTCGCTCCTCCCTCTGACTCCAGTGCATCCCCGTCTCCAGCGCCAGACGCTGCCAAGCTCACTCCGCCAGCACCTCCCTGGAGTCGCGCTGGGCGCTGCAGCGGCTGGGCCGCCGGAGCTCCGCGCGCACAAGACTCAGAGGGCCGCGGGAGCCCGCGTACCCTCGGGTTCGGCGCCACCATGAACGGCTCGGGTGGCCCTGGGGCCGAGGACCGGAGCGACATGGGTGGCGGGGGCAGCTGGCAGCCCGAGGCGGTCATCGTGCCCACGCTGTTCGCGCTCATCTTTCTCGTGGGCACCGTGGGCAACACCCTGGTGCTGGCCGTGCTGCTGCGCGGCGGCCGGGCCATCAGCACCACCAACCTGTTCATCCTCAACCTGGGCGTGGCCGACCTGTGTTTCATCCTGTGCTGTGTGCCCTTCCAAGCCACCATCTACACCCTGGACGGCTGGGTGTTCGGCTGGCTGCTCTGCAAGGCCGTGCACTTCCTCATCTTCCTCACCATGCACGCCAGCAGCTTCACGCTGGCCGCCGTCTCCCTGGACAGGTAAACAAGCCCCCCACCCCCACCCCCGCAGCCCAGGGGTGGGTCACCCGGGCCGGGGAGGGACTCAAGGGTCAAGGAAAGATGGGCAGAGAGTAGAAAAGGACTCTAAATTGGCAGAGGGGCTGGAGGGAGTGAAAGAAAGACATGGCAGCCTGTTGGAGAAGGAGGAGTAAGAATGGGGGACCGCGGTGTCCCCTCTGTGCGGTGCGTCCTCGGGGCTGCCGGCTGCAGACTGCAGACTTCAGCTCTGCAGGGCCGCGGGCAGCAGACAAAGCGCAGCGGTTATGGCCACAAAGCGTTTTCCCTGTGCTGGGTCTGGCTGGAGGCTCCGTGTCCGTGTGAGGTCGGGAGGGGTGGGATGACTGTGCCCAACTTACGGACGAGACCGAGTTCATAAGTGACTTGCTCGGAGTCGCCCGCCCAGTCCTGAGCGCTAAGCCAGCGGTTTCCCGGCATCAAACTCAGGCGCCTGCACCTCGCTAGCCTTGAAGCCACGGTTTGCTCTGCGCGCTCCACTCTAGTCCAGACTGTGGAATCTGGGTCCTTCGCGGGGTCCATGCCAAAGTCCCAGCGAGCTCGCGGGACGGCCCCTAGCTTGGCCCCACCCCTTCTGCACCCCACCCCCAGGCGCGGGTCAAGGGCAGGGAGAAGAGCAAGTCCGAGCTTGCTCACCGCCCCACCCCCACCCCAGACGGAGTTTGTAAGGACAGGGGGATGATTCCCTGGGAGGAAACCCGGGCGTGACTGCGGTATCTCCCTGCCCTCCTCACCCCGACGTGCTTCCCACCTCCCTCGGGAAAGCAGCGCGGGGGGGGCGGGGAGGCCACATTCGCGCACACGTCCCAGTTCCACTGAGCGCGGAGCGTGACGCTTCCAAGAGCGTCGGCTTCTGTAAAGGAGCTTCCTCGCGGTGCCTCGCCTGGCCTGTCTCCAGGCCGTCTGCTATGGCCTCAAAGCTCCTGGGTTCTACTTTTCCGGGCACGTCATTGGTGGGTAATCATAGCCTCCCAGAGCCCCAAAGACGGTCCAGCCTCCGGGGTGCCCTCCCGGGCGGAGTCCGACTGTGGTCACAGTCCCGGAGAGGCAGAGGAGCGGCCTATACGCGCGCCTTTCCTGCGGCTGGGTCTCGCCCCGCATCTAGGCGCGGCGGAGAGTGTCCGGGATGCGCTGGGTCGCCCTCTGGGTGTACGGAGTGTGACCGTGCGCTAAGGGCCTTCCTCGAGAGCGGGTATGGGGCTCGGGGTGCAAGGGATCGGGCCTGCACCCGCGAATCCGCCCGCTCAGCCGACGTCTCCCTTCCCGGCCTGACCCGCAGGTACCTGGCTATCCGCTACCCGCTGCACTCCCGCGAGCTGCGTACGCCTCGCAACGCGCTGGCCGCCATCGGGCTTATCTGGGGGCTGTCGCTGCTCTTCTCTGGGCCCTACTTGAGTTACTATCGCCAGTCAAGGTTGGCCAACTTGACCGTGTGCCACCCAGCGTGGAGCGCGCCCCGACGCCGCGCCATGGACATCTGCACCTTTGTCTTCAGCTACCTGCTGCCTGTGCTGGTGCTCGGCCTGACCTACGCGCGCACTCTGCGCTACCTTTGGCGCGCGATGGACCCGGTGGCCGCCGGCTCGGGCGCCCCGCGCGCCAAGCGCAAGGTGACGCGCATGATCATCATCGTGGCAGCACTCTTCTGCCTCTGTTGGATGCCTCACCATGCGCTTATCCTCTGCGTCTGGTTCGGCCACTTCCCACTTACGCGCGCCACCTACGCGCTGCGCATCCTCTCGCACCTGGTCTCTTACGCTAACTCGTGCGTCAACCCCATCGTCTACGCGCTGGTCTCCAAACACTTCCGAAAGGGCTTCCGCAAGATCTGCGCGGGTCTGCTGCCCCGCCCCCCGCGCAGAACCTCAGGCCGCGAGTGCGTCGCTGCGCAGGGCACCCGTAGCGGCAGCGTGCTGGAGCGCGAGTCCACCGACTTGACGCACGTGAGCGAGGCTGCGGGGCCCTCTAGCCTTGCGCCGGCGCCTCCCTGCGGCCGGGCCTCGCGCGGAGTCGCGGGCTCCTGCTGGCGGGACCAGAAGGTCCTCAATGGCACGTTGACAGTTAACGTGACTTAAACGCACTTAGGATGTTAAAGGATCGGAGTCAGAGGTGGGGGAATCGTGGATGGAGTTTCCTCTGTCAATGTAATAAAAAGCGCGCACCATTTCACGTGCAGCGACGTTCTGTGTCCCCATTTATCTCAGAGGCTGTGTGGGAAAAGCCTGTGGGACTTCACAGAGAAGCTTTGGCTGATTGGGTGCCGGTGCTTTCCTGAGTTTACGGGGAAGGAGAGCAACCTGCACCAGAGACAACCGAGTTAAAAATCGGCAAGAAATTCCTAAGTGGGTGAGGCTGGGGAGAGCGCGACCCGCCAAAGCTCTTTGCGCGCGGCCCTCTGAAGGCAGGCGCCAGGTGCGCGCGGACCGGCAAACCAGCAGTCGCCAATGCGTCACGTGGGAAGGCAGGCTGTTTAAGCGCACGCGATCAAGTCGGTGGATGGCGGACGCAGACACCACGGGTGTCCTGGTGGCATTCCAGCGCGGGTGCGCGGTGGGTCCTCGCCTGCTCCCGGTTTCCTGGGGCCCTTTCGAGCCTCAGCAGCCCTGTCAGTGGCTACAGACTTTCAACTTTGCGGTTTCCTTCCATTGCTGCTGCGTTTATCTGGGATCAGGTCTCCAAACGCTCACTGGGCTTCTGCTTCCCGCCAGAAAAGTCGCGCCAGACCACCACCGGTCCTGTTCCAGGGCGCACAGAGCGGCTTTGAGGCCCTGCTGGGCTGGAGCAGGCTGAGAATTGGTGGGGGAACCGGATACCCTGGGGTTTCTTCACGAGTTAGCCGCCCCCTGACGCTGAGTTCGCCCCACCTCTGGAATCCTTGAGCCAAGGATTGTTACACGAAATCGGTTCAGTGTGTAAGGAGATGCAGGAAAACGCTCAAGGGAGTGCCCATCTCACATTGTCGAGTGCAGGGCGCCTTGACAAGGGCTTGAGTTCTTAGCCAGGCAGACACCCACCATAGAAACAAAGGGAGGCCACTGGCATCTGCCCACACCGGAAGGGCCGAGTCAGAGAAGGGGCGGGGCGGCGGGTTCTGTGCTTGCCTGGACTTGAATGTGGCAACGTGTGCCAGACCGTGGGAATGGAGCGGGACGGGGAACCCTAAGCGAGGCGCAGGGTGGGCGGGGCTTGGCCTTGGGTGTTTTCGGAACCCCCTGTGGGGGTGGGGCGGCCAATCCAAGGCTCCAGGGTTGTTGACCAGAGCGGTTGCCTCAGCCATCTGCTCAGTCACCCAGACAAGTGACTGACATTGAGGTTGTAGCTTGGACGCCGCTGCTGCCCCCAGCCCCGCTGTGCGGCCGCTCACGATGACCCTGCAGCTGCTGCTCCATGTCGCCTTGCTCAGACCGGGCACCACTCCGCCCTCGGTCCAGGGCCGCAGTGTCTGCGCACCGGCAGGTGGTAGGTGGAAGGCGTAGATCGTGAGCTTTGGGATTTGGGCCTCAAGGTACCAGGGTGGCCTCCGCCTTCATCCCTCAGCCTGGCCATCCTTCTGTGACCTCAACTCACCCCTGGAGGTTCAGGAAACCATCCAGATCCCGAACAACGGGAGCGGGCCCCTGCAGGTGGACGTGCGGGTGTTAGTGAGAAATGTGTCTAATGTGGTAAGAACCCTCAGGAGGGGGTGGGGCCCAGGTGCCGAGCTGGGGGTGGGACAGGACTGGGTCCCTGGACTGCTGTGGCCTCCTGCCTTTTGTCATGTGGCAGCCACCCGCAGGTGACATGCTGGCCCCTTCCCCAGGACATCCTTCGGTACACAGTGTCCTCCAAGCTGCTGCTCCGGCTGGTGAGAGCCCGGAGTGGGGGCAGGCAGTGAGTGCAACAGGGTGGAGGTGGGGCGGGAGAACCCGCTCTCGGCCCAGCACCAAAGTACCGGTTTTCATTAACCCGCCAAGCTGAGGGGCGTGTATACACGGAGGGCCAGAGCCTCAGTGGGGTCCTTGTGTCCCTGGGCCTGGGTGGACACTGGCCTGGCCTGGAACGTGAGTGTGCACCCATGGCTCGTGCTCACGCTGCCCTGGGAGTCACTGTCCAGGAGGCGGGAGGTCTAGTCCAGGACCCCCCGTGCACGTCCCTGCCCCCACCCACAGCCCGGAGCCCTGGCAGTGCACGCCCTCTCCTGGTGGCCCCTCCGGACCACTGGCAGCCCCCACTGCCCACGCTCCCTCTCCCTCCCGGAACCCCGAGGACTGGGGACGGCAGCCGGGCGCCTGCCCGAGTCTCCCCCCCCGCACCGCCCCCTTCAGAGAAGGGGCTGAGCCCTTGGCCGTGACACTTCTCCCTGCAGGCTCCGGGTGGACTGGCAGGACCAGGGCCCACGGACCCGCGTGGACCAAGGTGGCCATGCCAAGCTCCCCCTGGCCCTCACCACAGAGACCAGCTGCGACTCGGAGCTCCTCCACCTCCCCAGGGACCAGAGGGGCCGCACCCTCCGCTTCTGTGCGCTCAGCCGCCCCTGGCTCCCCCTGCTCTGGCGCAGCCCCACTTCCGTCCTGCCTCCTCCCCCTCAGCCACTGCCCCCAACAGCCAGGGCCCCACCGTAGGGGCTAGGCCGCTGGTGTTAGCAACCGGGTCGCTGCAGCCTCACCCCTGGAAACGTCCTGAAGGCGTGGCCATGCAGTGAAAATACCCCACGGACCTGCTGGGGGGTGTCCAACCTAGTGGGCAGTCCCCCCTTCCCCGCCTCCCTCCCCTGCGGGAAACAGCAGGGCTCCCGCCCCTGAACCCCGGTCCTTCAGACGCCAGACGAGACACAGGTGGGACTCAGTGACCACTCCCCCTCTGCGAGGTGGTGTGAAGTGCATTTATTTCTACAATGAAAACCCGTCTATGAGCCTGTGAAGTTCCTCCCTCTAACTGGAGAAAACTTGGGGGGGGCGACGTGGGGTCCGGAAAGCCCTCTCAGGGGCCAGTTCCATCCCCACATCTGCCCCCCGCAGCCGTCCGTGGTCTCCACCGTCCTCGGGCACCGGCTCGTCCCTGCCCTCCTCCCAAGAGATTTGGGGGCTGTCCTCTCCCCGCCCCTCGCATTGATGGAGCTGGCGCTCCAGGCCCACGTGGTGGATGAGACTGTGGGTGTCAAGAGGGAGCACGGGGTTCAGGATTTGAAAACCCAAGTCCCGCTGCAGCAGCTGGTGCCCTGCTTCCGGGTGACAGTGAGGCCAGAGGTGGCCGCCAGAGGGCTGCAGGGGCATTGCAGATGCAGGGCCAGAGGCAGGACATCACCTTCCTGCCCCCACCTCCTGTGCAGCCCCCCAAAAGCCCCCACTTTCTTCCCGCTGCACCTGAAGAACGCAGACTGAAGGCCATCATGTCGCTGTCGGTACCCAGGGAGGCGCTGCTGTGGGCGCATGAGTACAGGGCAGCTGCCCCTCCAGGCCACGGAGTGCACTGCCCACGAGGTGACCCTGCTGCTGGGCTGCCTGGTCTTCCACTCCTCCCTGGTGCAGGCCCTGCCCCCTCCTCCTCCTGCAATCTGCTGCTCAGTGAGCCCTGCGCCCTCCCCTGGCCCTGCCTCCTTCTCTCCTCCCGGGTCAGCTCCCCCGCACTGGGGGCACAGGTCTCGCCCCTGACCGTTGTCCCCGCCCCCCCAGTGTACGCCCTCACCATCCTGCTGCTGCTGCTCTTCCTCAGCACTAGAGACCATCCCGTTGGCAGGGCTGCTGGCTGGGGACCACCTCAGGGCCGAGAAGAGCCCCAGCCCAGCCCCGAGAAGGGAGTGGCAGGACCGGGAGAAGGGGAGAACGCAGGGCCTAATCCTGAAGGCGGGCAGGGGCTGGCCCTCCTGGGGGCGGGGTGGGGGGAATGGGGCCAGGAGCAGGTGGATGGGGCAGAGCCGGCATGCCGCAAGCCTGGGGCTGGAGTCGGGGGTCGCTGGGCTACTGGGAGGGCCCTCGCCCTCACTCTGCCGGCCCCACTGGCCTGGGGCCGCACCGCATCCACCCCTGGCAGAAGCAGGTTTGTAGCAGGGAGCAGGGCCGGCTTCCCTGGAGGCCTGGCCGACTCCGAACTCCCCGGCGTAACCCTGTGCCTGGGGAGCCTCTCTAGGAGGGTCCTTCTGCAGCTGAATGAAGATGGCCCAGAACGGGCCGCATCCACACCCCGCTGGTTGTGAATCACGGAAGGGGAAACAAGGCCGAGGGTCCCTGGGCTCACCCTCCTGCCCTGGGGGAGGGGCCGGGCTGAGCCCTGAAACTCGGCTCCTCCCCCTGCCTCTCCCCCACAGAAGCCACGGGAGGAGTCACGGGGTCCCAGAGGAGCTGGGCCGGGGCTACCGGCCACACCTTCTTCCTGCGGCAGCACGTGGCAGGGGTGGCGTGTGGCCAGTCCATCTTCCCGGGACTCCGGGTGTGGGTGGCATGCGAGTCCGACCTGGCCCCCAGTGAGGCTGCACCCCGTGGCGGGCAGCCCAGCCCGTGACAGGGCAGGGCCCGGGTGCGGGCCCGAGGGAAGGCCATGTCGGGGTCTCTGGGAAGAGGCGCAGGGAGGTGGACTCTCCCCTAAGCCCGGAGGACCCTGGGCCACCCCGAGCTCTCCCGTCTGTTAGCACGCAAGCAACAAGCGTGAAATGAACCCATCACCCAGTGCACCCTGCAGGGTCTGTCTGCCCGGAGCCCAGCTGCTCATTCTATATAGGTGGGGCCCCACTCCCCCGCCGACCCCCACTCCCCTCAACTCCCACTCCGCTCCTGAACTCAGCGGTGGCCACCGGTCCCCCAGCCGCCCCTCACGCCCCAGTCTAACTGCTCTTCCTGAGGCCACTGCTGCTTGGCCCTGGGCCGGGGGCACGGGGACCAGGAGACGGGCCGAGAGTCACGGGGTGGGGGCGTCAGAACTCCTCTGGATGGCTGAGGCGTGCGGGACCGGAGGGAACGGAGAGTGCGCACTGCTGGGGACAGAGCCCCCCAGCCCCAGGACGTGGCAGCGGAGAGTGTGCTTCCGCACGAAGTCCAAGCGCAGGTCAGCCCTGCTCGTGTCCCCTCCAGGCCCTCTGGCTGCCATGCGGCCCGCGCCCCTCCACCCACGGGTCCGAGCTGAAGGGGGGTGCCGTGTCCTCGGCTCAGGGCTCTGACCGGGGCGGGCGGCAGGGTTGTCCCGCCCCCTGCTGCTGTGCTCCCCAGGCAGCCGTGGCCACAGGCCTGGGTGTCCCTCTCTGTCCTTTCCTGCCTGGAGGCCACCAGGTGGCCCCTGCAGGCTGTGGTCAGGGACACGACGCCCAAGCTGTGCGGGAAGGCGGGCGCCCAGGAGCGCGCTGTGGCGGAGGGCGGAGGGCGGAGGGCGGAGGGTGGGGGCTGCGGGGAGAAGCACAAACCAGGACTCGAGGGCCCAGGCACAGGGCACCTGGCCCGGGCGGCGAAGAAACGCCCCTGCCCCGAAGGACATGAGGCTCACCCGGCCCAGAGGCCAGTCAACATGGGTTTATGTGTCCGGTGGCACGCCGGCCTGCGAGGCCAGGCAGGGGCAGGCGCAGCTCACGCGGACGTGTCGAAGAGGCGGTCGATCATGTCGCCCACCTGCTCCACGCGGTACTTGATGTACTTCTCGGGGTTCTTGGTGAAGGGCACGCTGCTGTACCTGGCCAGGCACTGAGGTTGGTGGGGAGCCCCGGCCCCTCCCCTGCCCCCCCTTAGTCTCAGGCCCTTCTGGGGGGTGCCCCCGAGTGCTGCCCCTGCCTGGCCCGACGCCAACGCCCAGGGCACTGGGCCTGCCCCCCACCCCCATGATGTCCTGAAGGAGAGCACAGAGCCCCAGCTGGGGGGGGGTGCGGGCGTGGGGGGCGTGGGGCTCACCTGTGCAGAAAGGCCCCATACGTCTCCTTGACGATGTGCTTCTGAGCTTGGCGGATCTTGTCCCTCTGCTCCGTGTCGGGAATGGCCCAGGCTTTCTGGGTCTTGCACAGCTCTTCAAGGCCGTCGTTGAAGCCCTGGCCCCCAAAAGGGCGGAAACGGAAACAAAGGTTTGCGTCTGTGTTGCCACAACAGCAGCAGTGGCACCCAAGGAGGGGACAGGATCCCAGCTCACCTTAAAGCGCTCCTTGATCATCTGCCGCTCCTTGTCCCGGAGCTGGGGGCCCAGAAAGCTGTCCTCAGAGAAGCGTCACCTGCCCCGCTCCCTCCCTCAATGCCTGCACCCAGCCCGGCCCTGCCCAGCCAGGCCCCGCCCCCGGCCCCAGCCAGCCCCGCCCCACCCCGCCCGGCCCAGCCCAGCCCAGCCCTCGCTCCCGGCCCTCGCTGCTGCAGCACAGAGGGCTGCAGGCACCCTCTGCTCTATCCTCCCAGAGGGCCTCTTGTCCTTGTCCCTAGGGGCATGACAAAGGTAGCACACCCGCTAGACACCACTGTGGGCTTACCTTGACTCCCGGTTGGAACACAGGTAGATTCTTTTCGGAGATGTACTCCGTCACCTTGGTCCAGCTGCCAGGAGAGAGAGAAAGCAGAGGGCAGCGGAGGGGCAGCCTCAGGCAGCTGCTCCTTCCTGGGCTGGTTGGTTTGTCGGTTTGTTTAAAGCTCTTGATCTACTGCGGGGAGGGCAGGAATCGACCCGGGTCACGACTAAGCAAAAGACACCTGAGGTTTTTCCTTGGGGGTGGGAAGTGCCTGAGATGGCCGCTTTTTAAACGAACAAGAAGAAACAGAGCATTCAATAAATTGAACGAGCCCTGGCTGGCGTAGCTCAGTGGATTGAGCGTGGGCTACGAACCGAAGTGTCACAGGTTCGATTCCCAGTCAGGGCACATGCCTGGGTTGCAGGCCATGACCCCCAGCAACCACACATTGATGTTTCTCTCTCTATCTCCCTCCCTTCCCTCTCTCAAAATAAATAAATAAAATCTTAAAAAAAAAAAGAACAAGAAGAAACGGAGCGTTCAATCAACTGAACGAATGGGGTTGGCTGTGCCCCACGTCAGTGGCGTGGCGAGTTCAGATGAGGCGGGGGGGGGGGGGCCGAGGGCGGATCCGGGGAAGGAAGAGGAGGGCCCTTTCAGGGCAGGACGCACAAGGGGAGAGGCACACAGAAACCCAGGAGCAGAAGAGGGTTGCTCAGCCAAGTTCAAGGGCCCTCGCAACCTTGCTCTTTGCTTGGGCCAAGAGCAAACGCTCCCCACATCTCGGACACTCAGCCCCTGGCCCAAGCCCCGCTTCACCTTCGGCAGGCAGACCGCCCTCTGAGGAGGCCGGCACAGCGCCCCCTAGGGAGCAAGCGTGGGGGGGTCCCACTGCCACCCCGTGAATGTGACTGTAACACAAGCAGAGGGTCCGGGTCCACAGGGCCACGGTTCCCCGTTACTGACCGCATCCTGGCTGGGCCCGGTGTCCTGAGACCCTGAGAGGGGGTGTGAGCGGTGGGCATGAGGGGCGGGAGAGGCCAGCAGAAGGGCCCAGCCTCTCACCTGCGCTGGTAGGTCTGGATCTGATGGTCGATGTGCTCCCGGTAGGAGCGCTCGGCCGTCTTCTGGGTCACGGCCACCAGCTGGATCAGCTCAGACCTGGGGCGGGGCCAGGGACAGAGCAGAGGGGGCGGGGTCGGCTCCCAGGGCCCACAGGCTCCGGGCCTTGGGGCGGCAGCACCAGTGGGGCCCGCCCGCCCCAGTGGACCTTCGAGAGCTCTAAGAAGGCAGCACACACGCCCCCCGCCCCGGGGTGGGGGGCGGCTGCCAACCAGCCCGCGGCCACCTACTTCTCCAGGGCCTTGAGGATGTAGTTGTAGTTGTTGTGCAGGAAGATGGCGCTCAGAGCCGGGTCCTCGTACACCTTGGACTTGCTCAGCAGGTTCAGCTGCAGGTTGCCCAGGACTTTACCTGCATGGGGAAGGATGGGGCCATGCCCACATGGCAGTGTGGCCACAACGACCCCCTCCAGGGACCCACAGACCAAGGCCTCTCTGTCCCTCCTGTCCCTCCCCGACTCCAGAGGCCCTCTGCCCGGCCCCCACTCTGCACTGGAACCAGAACCAGAGGTCAGGCTGTAATTGCAAAGGTCGGGGGGCCGCTCAGTGGCGTGACCCGGGTAGTAGGTAGGAGGGCACAAAACGGGAGAGAGAGGGGCGGGGAGCCAGGGACCAGCCTCGGCCGCAGCTGGCTGGAGCGCACTCACAGATGTAGGTGCTCAGCAGGCGCTTGCTGAACTCGGAGTTGTAGCTGGTGGCTGAAGAGCTGGTCTCTGCGGGAGAGGAGAAGTCCCGCTGCGGAGGCTGCGGGGGCCCACACCCTCGCCGGCCTTCCCGCGGCGGGCCCAGGGGCACCCGAGCTCACGCGGGGAGAGGCCTCTGAGCCTGCCTTTCTCTGGCTGATGGGACAGAAAGGAGCTCGGGGCGGGGCGGGGCGGGGCGGGGTAACCGCTGGGCTCCAGGGCCCCTGCCTGCTGCACAGGGCACCCCCTCGGACCCCTTCTGGAAGGCAGCGCAAACCCCTCTATGGTGACGGGGCGGCCCATGAGGAGCAGGACGGCCGGCAGGAGAGGAGTGGGACACCTCCTGCCCGCCAACCCCGACCTGTGCTGGGGCCCACCGTTCCTACTGGTCAACAGCAGGGCCTCTTCCCCCTGCAACTTCCCACCACCTCCTGGGCCGGCCGTGGGGAACAGAGGGGACCTGCCTACACAGAGTGGAAGGCCAGGCTCGGGGAGAGGAGGGGTGGGGGCAGGGGCTGGGCTGGCTGGAGGGTGTACGCGGGGAGCCTGGGCCACAGGACACCGCCTGGGTAACCTCGGAGACAGGAAGTGGCCGTGGGCGGAGCTGTGAGAGCTGGAAGGCCCCCGCAGGGACCTGTGCGTTCCCCGACCCCCACTCCCCAGTGGGCCCTGAGTCTGCCCAGTTGCCTGTCCCCAGGGACCCTCACTCGCAGGGCTTCGGAGCGGGAGGGTGGGGCTGCAGAACCCCGCCGCTTACCTCGGGGGTCTAAAGGAATATTGTATGTGTCCCCAAGAACTACGGAGTGAGAGGCAGCGCGCGGAGGGGAGGAGGCGGAGACAGAGACGGGAGAAAGATGCAAAGTGCAAACACAGGTTAGAAGCAGCTGAGTCACCCCGAGTCACAGACCACTCCCACGACAGCCAGGACCCAGAGAGCAGCGCACACCCAGGCCAGACCTGCTGCAGGCCGGGGACACCCAGGACAGTGGGGTCAAGCACCCCCAGGCCAGTGGCCGGCGACGCCTGCGCCCTCACGTGCCAACCTCAGGAAGACGCCAGGCTGGCCCCGAGATGCCAGCCTCCATAAGCGCCGGCTGCGTGCGGTTCATTAGGAGGACAGGCAGACACAAGAAGGGGTGGAGAATCCGGACAGAGGGTGGGGCAGGAGGGGCACCTACAAACACCCGGGTGCCCTCCCCAGGGAGCCCAGGGGCAGAGGTCAGCCGGGGACTGCAGCGGAGCCCGGCTCTCCGGGTGCTCAGCCCAGGGGCCCACCAGCCCGCTGTCCCGCCCTGGGCCCACTCCACCGGCTGGAGGCGTTCTCCTCACCAGAGGTGGCCAGTGCCCACTGGGGGGCCTAACCCCCATCTCCAGGCAGGAGAGTGGAGGGGGGCATGGGGCTGGGGGTCCCGCTCGGAGGGGCCAAGTACCTTGGGAGGCCAACATGGCGCCCGCCGTCTCCTGGAAGTCCAGGAGCTGCTGCAGGAAGAGGATGGCCTGTGTGGGGAAAGGGGTCCAGGGAGGTCAGGGGCCGGACCCAGGGGTCAGGCCAGCTCCCACAATGCCCCCCCCCATTCTGGGGCAAGTGCGGGGTCCGCCCGGTGAAAAGGGCGGCTGACAACCTCCCTGTTTCCCGGCTTCGGGTTTGGCCGGCGAGGGGAGGGCCGGTCTGCCGTGCGCCGAGTGCCGCACGGTCCGGTCCTGGCGGCTCCGGGCACCCCCACCCCAGGCGACCGCGGGCAGCACCTACGTTGCTCGTGAGCTCGTGCACGGTGCCGTCCTTGGGCATGTTGTACTCCTTGTCCGGGTCGTTCTGCGGGGGAAACGCCGCACTCCCTGAGAGAGCTCCCAGGAGGCCTCGGACCCACCCCCCTGCCGGGCAGCCTGCTCATGGCGCCACCTCCTGGCAGACAGGTGTCAGGACACGCTGAAGGCACAGAGGTAAGATGGACAGGCCAGGAAAAGGGGGGGCAGGAGGTTCAGGCCTAGAGCCCAGGAAAGAAAGGGAGGCTCTGCGAGCCAACAGGAGACCCCCCCCGCCCCCCGCAGGCTGCCGCACTCGGAGCCCTGCTCTCTGAACAAGTTGCTCAGCCGGGTCACCGGTGGCCCCACCCACAGCCCGCCGGTGGGCGGGGCGCAGGGGGAGGGGCGCACCTTGATGTTGTCGGCGAAGTCCTCCAGCGCCTTGGCGCCCACTGTCTCCATGGAGGCGATGAGGCTGGGCAGCTTGTTCTTGGTGCTGGCGGCTGTGCCCTGAGGAGGCACAAGCCTACGTGGCGGGCAGGCCCCGGCCCCTGGCCCCGCCGGACACCGGCTGTGTGCATGCGGCCCCGTGCCCCGTCCACTCCCCGCTGCTTCTCCCCGCCCCCCACCCATGGGACTGCCTCCTCTTCACTCACAGGACCCGTGAGCGGCTGCCAGCCCCCCTCGGAGCAGAGGTGAGGGGCAGAGAACGTGGTTCCCGGCGGGGAGGCCACGCTGGGCAGGGCGGCAGGACCCCGCGCCCCCCGTGGCCCCCGGGGCCTCCCCGTACACTCACCTGGAGCACCTGGTCGACCTCGGGCTTGGTCTGCTTGAGGTGCCGCAGCACGGGGAAGACGGTGAGCACAGCGGAGAAGTCGTGCCTCGCGATGGCCTTCCGGGCGGCCGACACGATGTTGTCCCCCTCGAGCATGAGCCCATCCAGTGCGTCCTGGGAGAGGGTCCGGGGCGCCGCTCAGGGAGGGGCGGGGTGGTGACAGCGGCTCCCCAGGGACCGTGAGGGCACCCGAAGGGGCGGGGGAAGCCAGTGTGCTTCCGATGGGGAGGCGCCAACCAGGCCCGCCCCCGGGACCGCAGGGTGGGGGTGGGGGGGCAGCTGTGCCGGAGGGCTGCCGACAGCAGGCCCAGCCCCAACTCAAGCTCCTGCAGTGACGGCTCCCGCTGCGCCAGCTGGGCCGGGGCGGGGCAGGACCTGTATCAGGGAGTCGAAGGTCTTTTTCTGGTGGTGCTCCGGGATGACCTCCATCAGCAGCTGGTACTCGCTCTGGGCCAGCTTCACGAAGGCGCTGACGCAGTGGATGTAGGCGTCGGTCTCCACGTCCAGCATGTCGTCTCTCCCTGGGGGGCGGCACGGCGCTGAGCTGCAGGGCTGGGGACAGCCCTCCCCCCGCTGCAGGGGCCTGGGTCCCCCCAGCTCCTGGCCCGTGGCCCCGACCGGCAGCAGGCGGGGAGGGCTGCTCCGGCAGGAAGCTGAAGACCAGCAGGCCTCCCTGGGCCAGAGGGGAACCTGGGAAGGAGCCCAGCGTCTGTCCTGGCTTCACTCTCAGCTCTGCCACGGACAGTGCTTTCGTCCCAGAGTGCCAGGTGGCGGAGGGGGCGGGAGTCGGGCCCCGGGGGAAGGAGGAAACTCCCCTGAATGGACTCCCTGGACGGGGTCTGTCTGAGCCCAGGACCGGGGGTTCTGGAATGGACCGGAGAGAGGGCGGCCAGGGCCGGGCAGGGGGCAGCGTGCACGTCAAGGAGGCGGGCACCTTGAGGTGGACAGGCAGCTCAGACAGTGCTGGGTCTGCGAGGGCAGCTCCCAGCCCAAGCAGGCCTTTCGGGACACACGAGAAGGCCGTGGGCTATGGCCTGCGAGGCGTGAGGTTAAGATCCGAGAAGAGGCAACGTGAGCCCCAGAGCGCGAGGGCCCTTCGGCTGCCAGCCGGCCCAGGAGGAGGCTGGGTCCCACCGCTGGAGGCTGGGGCAGAGGCGCCGGCCGGCAGCGTGGTTCCATGTGCCCCGGGAGCCAGAGCTCTGGCACCGCCTTTGGAGCCGGTGTCGGGGCTCCCTGCTCCCCAGGGAGAAACGTCCCCTCCCTGCCTGCCTTCCAAGCAGCAGCAACTTGTCCCCTTGGCCCGGGCCCTGAGAGCCAGCTGTGCGCTCCCGCCTGGAGAGAGGCAAGGGGACCGTGTTCCGGGAAGAGAGAGTCTGGAGGGAGAGCAGGGGCAGGCCTGGCCCATCCTCGAGGCGGAGCGGCCGGCCGGGCCCTCCGGTGACTGCGGTGGGGGCGGCGGCGGCGGCCGCCCGCGGGCTGGGCTGCGGTACTCACCGGCCAGCGGCCCGTGCTTGTCGTTCGGGGCCTCGGACAGGTGCTTAACTCGGAAATCATGCTCGTGACCTAGCGAGACGTCGGCCGCACAAACACAAGCAGCGTTTATCCAGGGGCTGGGCGGGCTGGCCCTTGGGGTTCTGGGAAGAAGCCCTCGATCTCCAGGAGGGGCGTCGGACGGGATGTCGGGGAAGGGACACTGGGGAGGGCTCCGAGCCCCTCCTCTGCCTCAGGCCACCTGAGGGACAGCCGTTTCAAGCCTGACTCGCAGGGCCCCCGACCGCCCTCGGGAGCTGGCCTCCCCCAGCCCGGAGGCCGGGAGGGAGCTGCAAGGGCCAGAGAGAGGTCTGAGGATTCTGGCAGCCGCAGGGGCCGAGGCCCCACACCAGGGGCTGTCTCCCCGAGTCCGGGAGAGACACCCAGTTAGAGAAATGCCACGGCCAAGCGCAGGAGACGGCCTTCTGCTTGTAGCCCAGCATCGCGCTTGTGCAGGCGGGTCAGGCCCTCCAGGGAGGGGCTGTCCTTCCTCTGACGGGACAGAGGAAGACGCGTGGCTGACCAGGGGCCTGTTGCCTTGCTGCACACACCCCCCTTCTAAAGTTGGGGGTGCGGGTGACCAGGAGGCCTAGGCCCCCTTGGTCCTGCCACTGCCGGTCTGAGCGTGAAAGGGCTGCCCGGGCAAAGAATGTTCTCCGAGTTCCAACGGGAGACGAGGACAGAGACAGGGAGGGAGGTGGGGGGAGCCTCAGGGAGGGCAGAGCCGCCGCCGGCCAGACGGGACCGGGCCAAGGCCACAGCCACGGAACCTGTCCCTGCGCCAGCCGGAGGCAGTGGCACAGGGAACCTGCCGTCCCCACCCCGGGCCCCCTCTCGGGGCTCCCCCCCGAGGCCCTCCTGGGGGGTGGCAGGCTCTGCCCTGCCTCGGGAGCGGACACACGGTGGAGGAGGGGGAGCAGGAGAGGGAACACGGGGTGATTACCTTCCAGAGGAATGAGGTTAGAGCCCCCCTTTTTCCCATCTAGACCATGCTGGGAATACTGTTTCAGAAGGTTCTGAGCCTTACGGATCGTCCCTGTCACCAGAGCCACACAGAGAGGAGGTAAGAAGACCTAGGAAACGAGTGAGAGAAAACAGCAGCGCCCTCCCCGGGCCCCCGGCCCCCGGCCCCCCGCCCCGCCTCCCAACACCGAGCATGCCCAGGCGCCACCGCCCCCAGCAGACCCTTCCCCAGGGCCGCCGGACAGCCAGCAGACGGAGACGAAGGAATGGACACATCCCCCAGATGGGCCTCCTGCTTCTGCTGCTGGCCCTCGTCGCTGAGGACGAGCAGGGGGTGAAGGAGGTGAGGGGCAGAGGTCCACTAGGAGGGGCCAAAATAAAAAGCGGCCCTGTGACCACAAAAAACAAGGGCTGGCCAGGAGGAGCTGGGGACAGAGCCCTCACACCCAGAGGGCAGGGCCGGGGCCAGAGCCTGGGGGAGCTGGGCGCTGGGGGCCCTGAGCAGACCACCAGGCAGAGCTCTCGGGGCATGCTTGGCGCTGGCAGGGAGCCCAACGGTGGTCGGGGAGAAGCAGCCCCGCGAGCCGGCGAGACGGGAAGCGCCTCCCGGGAGGCTTGGGGACCCCGAGGCAGCCTGGCCCCAAGCCCCGGAGGTCCCCACACCACCAAAGCAACAGGAAAAACCTCGCAAGCTGAGCGGGGTTAACAGGGCCGCCTCACGGAGAGGAGAGGGAGGGCAGTGGGAAAGGGTACGTGCTCGTGGCACGGAGAAAATCAGCAGTTAGTGTCACAAGTAAAAACAATGAGAACAAAACCGCAGCGCCCCAGCCGCGGGGTCGGCCACCTCTGCGGGGAGGAGACACCTCAGGACGGGGGACATGAAACAGCATTTCAAACAGGCGAGGGCAGCTGCCTTGTGCTGGCGGAGGGGGGCGCCCGTGCGCAGAGCTCTGTCCCCCTTCCCCGGAGACGGCCGGCCCCGGCCCCCGAGTCCCGGGGCACAGCGAGGCTGCCGGAGTCCTGCACGTGCCCCACAAAAGGCCAGGCAGAGCGAAAGGGACAAAATCTGGAGGGGCTCATTTCCTTCTGGTTGTACCCCGACAAGCTACTGATAACCGGGTTTGGGGGCCCAGCTGAGTGCCTGTATCCTGTGTCCCCGCTAGTGAGTACGTCAGGTCCCTGCCCCACACCCGACCCGGAGCAGATGCGCCTGCCGCCCGGCCGCCAGGCACCCAGCACCACGGACGAGCGTCTGGTGTCTCGTCACCACTCACTGACCGAGGAGGCCTCCCCGCCCCCCTCCCCGAGCCAGGAACTGAGGTCCCCAGGCCCGATGCCCCAGGCCTGGCATCAGCCCCAAGCTCGCCAGCTCCTGACAGCTCCCGAAACCCCACGGAGACCATGGGGACCCTTCCAGAGAGTTCTCCTCTTGGGTCTACAAGGCCAGGACTGATTAGGTCCCCGGTGAGCACCGCCTCCTGGCGGGCCCTGTTCCTGCACGGCCAGCCAGCACTCTGGGGCTGAGCTCATGGGTCCCAGGGACTCCAGGGCCCGTCAGGGAGGGGGAGACCGAGGGGAAGCGAGCACGGACGGCCGAGGCCCAGGTGGCCTCCCAGGCGCAGCCCAGCTGGACACGCAGAGGCACAGGGAGGGACCGACCGTGTGTGGCAGCCAGGCAAGCTGGCGTGGTGGAGTCACCGGTTTTCTGGGTGGGCAGCCGGGGCACCCCCACTGGGGGGGAGCACTCAGTGCACTTCCCTCCAGAGTCACCAGCCACCCTAACGCTCCCCTCGAGTGTGCCCCCTGGGCAGCCTCTGCTCTGCCACGCCTCCGACCCCGAACACAGGCGCTGGGAGGTGGGGGGGGGGTGAGAAACGGTGCCTGGGGACCTGGCCCCAGTGTGAGCTCTAGGCCACAGGCCACGCCCACTGAGGGCGACCTCTCTCGGCGGCGGCCAGACAGAGCCAGGCCGGCCAAGCCGCAGCCACACAAAGGGGCACTGTTGGCCCACACAGGCTGCAGTCAGCTCCCGATACCCCAGTAGCGAGTGGGGGCCGCGGGGACCGGGAGAGGGACAGACAGGGCGCTGTTCGCCAGGGCAGTCACCACGCATGGCCCAGGCCGCTCCCCCCTTCACCCCACCCCCCTCGCCCCCAGCCCCCGCCCAGCGACTTCCCCACCGCCAGGCCCCAGCGCAGTGCGGCCTGAAAGCCAGACGGACTTCTTCCTTTCTGGACCGACTGCGGGAGTGGCAGCTCTCCCCACGGCACGCCGCCCTGGCTCTCTGGAAAGTGAGGTCTGCCCTGTCCCATCCCACGGCCTTGGCCATGGCAGCACGCAGGCCTCCTGGCTGGACAGCGGGGGGAGGGAAAGGGGCCCAGCAACTGGCTGCGCCCTGGCACCCTGTTACCCTGCCCCCCCCATCTGTGACTCCTCTCCCTACTCCAGAGACACTGATGTAACCCCCCAGACTCTGCTGAGCAGAAGGGAGGGCCTCACTGGGCGGGGGCCTGCCGGCTGCTGGACACTTGCTCTCTGTCCTGCGCACCTACAGCTGGGGTCGCTCCCACAAGCTCTGGGGTTGGGGAGGGCTGAAGGCAGTGCAGGTCCCACACCACCTTCTGGCCGGTGCTCACGGGGCCGGGGCGGGGACCCACCTGGCCGCTTGACAGGCTTCTTGGTGGGCGTGTCTTTCCTCTTGTTGGGGATGGCCGGGGAGTAGGGGACCCCAGAGGCAGAGGTGCTCTTCCGGAAGTGCTCCCTCAGGCCCTTGATGGAGCGGTCCAGCTGGCTGGAGCGGATCTGGTAGTAGACGTTCATGAAATCTGGGGAGAGAGGGGCAGCGGGCTGCTGTGGGGCGGCCCGGGGTCCCCGCCTTCCCCGCCAGGCTGGCTCCACAGGGCGGCAGCGGCGCCCACTATTTCTTCCACTTGCGAATCCTTCCCGGCATCCGCTCGGGCTCACCGCCACCCACGGGGACTCATCCCAAAATCAGGCAGACTCTTAAAGGAAGAGTATACCCCAATAGGACGGATCATTTTTAAGTTTTGAAGCTAAAGTATTTTTTAAGATAAAAAATATAAAGCTAACATCCAATTCAATCTGGTAAGGAGTCAAAGGGTGTGAGCAATTCGTAGGGGGCAAAGAGACAACAAGTGTCGGTGAATGAAAACACACCCCATCTTTAGCTGATCACAAAGTGAACATTTAAGAAAATAACCGGAGGGGCCCTGACTGCTGTGGCTCAGTGGACTGACCCCCCAACCTGTGACCCAAAGGGCCGCTGGTTTGATTCCCAATCAGGACACAGGCCTGGGTTGTGGGCCAGGTCCCCAGTGGGGGGTGTGTGGGAGGCCGCTGATCAATGTTTCTCTCCTTCTCTTTCTCCCTCCGTTCCTCTATCTCTAAAAATAAAAAGTCAAATCTTGAAACAGCCACCAGGGGACTGTGACAGCCCAGGGAGGAAAGAACAGCGGTGGGGCTGTCAACAGAGCTGCCGCGTCCCCATCTACCTGCACAGGAGCTCGCTACCTGACAATGGCACCTTTGAGAAAATGCCCCGAAGAACTCCCTACCTAAGAAAAGCAATTCGCTCGGGCGTGCTCAGAGCAGTGCTGCTAATCAGCACTGAAAAGCTGGGAAACCCCAAAACGCAAATGAGTGAGGACAAGGGGACGGACTCCCGGTGCACCTCAGCACCTCCCCACAAACGTGTCCCAAGGAGCCCAGGGCAGAAAACAGGCCAGAGCAGGGGGGCTGTCTGAAGGGCCTGGACACGCCCGCGGGCCTCCCTCTTATCCCAGGAGGTCCGCCAGCTCCGCACATGCGCCATGGCACGTTTGTGTGGGCAGTACAGGGCGGCCGGAGACCCGCCACCAGGGGGTGCGCGCGAGAAGGCCGGGACACCGGCGACGCACACCAAGAACTTAGCGCTCGCGCACACATACTAACAAAGCGTGGTGGGCTAAAAAGCTTAAAACTGAGTATTCATTGGAATTTTTGTTTTCTGAAATGTTTGCTTGGTTCGCAGTTTTTGGTTTTTCAATCCGAGGGCTGGCGAAAGAAATGATGGCACTGCCACGCCACGGAACACGGGGCGGCCGTTAGAGGAGCCCAGAGCAGGCGCGCGGGTCCCGGTAAGGAGTGCGCACGGCCTCTCGGAAGTTCCGGACAGAAAACCACGGCGGGACTCGCGTTCGGGGCGCTGCCTTCCACTCGGGAAGGAGGAGAGGACACGCACGCACACCCACACACTCGCTGCTGCAGGAGTTTTGGGGAGGGTGTGAATCAACCCCAACAGTGCTCATCTTTGGGTCCTGATGTTGTAGGTATCCAGGGAGTGAGGAGGCGGACTTCTGCTTTCCGCCTGAGGCTTTCAGTACCATTTGAGAAATTTTTTTCAAAGATTTTGTTTGTTTATTTTTAGGAAGGGGAAGGGGGGCAGAAAGAGAGGGAGAGAAACATCAGTGTGTGGTTGCCTCTTGTGCGCCCCCTACTGGGGACCTGGCTGCAACTCAGGCCTGTGCCCTGACTGGGAATTGAACTGGAGGCCCTTTGGTTAGCAGGCTGGTGCTGGATCCACTGAACCACACCAGCCAGGGCTGAAAATTTTATAATTAATCCGAAATAAAAAGATAGAAAAACAGGAAAGTAAGGTATATAAAGAAAAGCTTGGATTTGGCTAGACTCACAATTTGATACACAAGCTGTAGATTTATTGCCATATTATTTCCTATTAAGCTTTTTATAAAAAAAAAACACAAAAACCCAGGACCCCCACCCGGCCCGGGCCCTCTCACCTTGGTTGCGCCCGTACTCCACCAGCCAGCGGGAGATGCGGACCACGTCCAGGAGCACGCCCTCGGGCAGGTGCTCCAGGGGCACCTCCTCCTGGACCTCCAGCTCCTCCTCCCCGCTGATCAGATCCAGGATGAGCACTGGGGAGACGACCTTACTGTGCCGGGTCATCAGGCTGCGGAACTCGGACTCCAGAGACTCCTTCCCGCGCTCAAACAGCAACTTCTGCAGGGGCCGAGGGAGGAAGGGAGGGAGGGAGGGAGGGAGAGAGTCCACTGCTGCCGTGTCAGCACTCGGCTGGCCCTCACCTCCCTCCCCTCTGCCTCCACTTCCTTGAACCCAGAAAGGAAACGCCAGGGAGGTTTCCTTGATTATGTCTGCACCTCGTGTTCCCCCAAACTGTGTGTTCACAAGTGAGACCCAGGCTTTCATAAGCAGAGGCTTTATAATGTTGGCTGATTATTTTCTCACTGCACGGTTCACTGGCCTTCTTGTTAGAAAAGGGTTTGCAAAAGAAAAAAAAATAGCTACATTGAACTATGTCACATTAGAAGCTTTTGTGCTGCAAATGATACCATAAAAAAAAAAATGAAAAGACAACCCACAGAATGAGAGAAAATATCTGCGAATCGTCCGCCTGACGAGGGGCAGGCATCCAGGGCATGCGAGAGAACTGGAAACATGCTCACACAAGAGTGTGCGTGCGAGGGTTCACAGCGGCACTTTCCACAGGGGCCAGAAGGTGGGCACCCACCCAGGGAGCACTGACATGCATACATGATGGCATGCGTGAACTCTGCAAACGTTACATTGAGGGAAAGAAGCGAGACACGGAAGGTCACATGGTTGCGTGATGCCACTGATATGAGAAGTCCAGAGCAGGCCCGTCGACAGAGACAGAAAACGGACTAGAATGGCCAAGTTCACAGAGACAGAAGGTAGAACAACGGTTGCCGGGGGTCGGAGGGAAAGGAGAGAGGGGAGCTAGGGCACGATGGGTAGGAGGCTCCATCTGGGCTGCAGAGGAGCTCCGGGGGTGACGGCGGTGACGGCTGTGCAGCCCAGGGAAGGCACCCCGGGCCGCAGAGCTGCGCACTGGAAGGGGGTTGAAATGCGGGTGGACCCAGAGAGGGGGGTACGCTAGGTGAAGTCCGTCAGACAGAGGAAGACAAGTGCCATATGATTTCACTGATATGTGGAGTCCCAAAAAACAAAATAAATGAACAAACAAACAGAAATAAACCCACAGGTACAGAGAACAATTGGTGGTCGCCAGATGGGCAGGGGTTGGAGGGACAGGTGGAAAAGGGGGCGGGGTTAAGAAGTGCAAATTGGAGTTACACAGATAGTCACAGGGGAGTAAAGTGTGGCAGAGGGGACACAGTCAGCAACGCTGCAATAACTGCGTGGTCAGATGGGCGCTAGACTCATTGGGGCATCCCGTCATAGATGTATCCGTGTCTAATCATGGCACCTGAAACCAGTAAGATGTTGCATGTCGACTACAATTAAAAACCAAATTTTAAAAGATGTTTAAATTGATACATTTTTATATTGTGTGCTTTCATCACTGTAAACAAAGCACAAATGCATGTATAAAAATCAATGTGAAGTTTATATTGTATGCGTGATTTATAATTGAGTTAACTTGCACAAAAGCAGTGCAAAGGCACCCCTGTAATTCCTGAGGCAGAGGCCTCGAGGACTACAGCCCGTGCGCTGCAGTGCAGACTGCCGTCTGTCTGTCCTACTGTGTTCTCCTGCAAGCGGCTCAGTCTCTCATGGGCCCAGGGCAGGGACTGGCGGCCCCGGGCCCCTCGCCTTACCCTCTGGCCCCTTACCACTTTGTTGAGCTCTGGGCTGTCCGGGCTATTGTCCTGGAAATACTCCACAGCCTTCTGAATCTTGGCCATGCTCGCCAGGTACTCTTCCAGCCTACCTGTGGGGCTGGGAAGCAAAGGGGCCGTATGAGCCTGTGTGGATGGAAGACGAAGAGGAGGAATGGCATTTGGAAGGGGAGAGAAGAGAATTAATACAGAGGCTCACACGTACGAGTATTCTACCCCTCCCTTCCAAGGCCTGGGGCCGCCAGTCCAGGACACGTTAAGAATGAGACCCTCTGGCCCCAGCTCACCCCTCCCTGATGATCTTCTCTGTGTCACTGGCCACATGGTAGTAGCTGATGACGTGGTCCAGGCAGGACAGGGTCTTCTCAACATTCTCCTGCAGCCGCTGCAGGTTCTCTGTCTGCTTGTGCACGGGGATGATGGAGTTCTCCAGCTTCATCAGGCGGCTCTCGAAGGACGACAGGATGGACACCTGCGGGGGGAGGGGGGCCCGGGCTCTCAGGCCTCATGGTTGTCCCAGCACTGCTGCTGGACGCCCACTGGCCTTCGGCATCTGCTGCCTGTCCTCTGGTTGTCTAGACAATACACTCTGTAAGGGAAGGGACAGGGGCGTAGCTGTTCGCCACTGCGTCCTCAGCACCTGCCCTGGGCCCGACACACAGGTGGTCCAAACGAATTGGCTGAGGTTTGATTTGAAGGCAGTCCAGGCATCAACTGAATCCCTCCTAAGATAATCACCCCAGGATGGTTTCCCTTTCACCCTTTGGAGCCGAATCTCAATTTCTGTTCTTTCTGAGGCTTTCCTAGGCTGATCAGGAAGCAGTTTCACACGGAGCAGCTGCAAACGCATTGCTGGCATTTTCAGAAGCTTCTCTCTCTGAGGGTGAATCTCACGAAATGAGGACTAGGACCTCATCCTCGTGCTACCAAATACATGCCCAAGTTTGTATTTACTCAATTGTGCTTCACAGTCTCCTCTGGGAATAAAGAAGAAAACCCCCGTTTTGTTGAGCACCTATTATACACCTGGTACTGTACAAGATGCGTTCCCACGTGTCACCTCCTGTGACCTTCACCGCCACACTGGAAGGCTGGCATTCTCTGTTTTATCAGATGCGTTCACTGAGGCTCGGAGTTACCTGTCCGGCGCCACACACAAGTAAGTGGAGGGTGAGGACCAGCTCCCCATCTGACTTCAGAGCTCATGCTACCCAGAAGCCCTCTGGGGGTGATGGCTGGGTCCTGTCTGCTTTCAGGGATCTCGGGAGTGCTAACCCCGCCCTCCATCCCCTGCGACCGCCCACTGAATTGAGGATGACAACGAGCAACACCCAGCCCACCCAAGTCCGTCTCACAGGTGTCTGCGGAAGGAGAGGAGGAAGGATGGAGAGCTTGGACAGAGAGCAGAAAGTGCAGGCCAGCGGGGGCAGCGGCATCTTCAGGGAGGAGGGGGGCACGGGGAAGGGAGCTAGGTAAGCGACAAGCCACACGGTTGCTGAAGAAACCACCCACTACCGCCATCAGCACCCAGGCCAGAACCCCCGGCCTTCTGGACCGGAACCGCGGGTCGCAGGACTCTCTCCCCTCAGGATCTGGGGGCCTGTTAGCTCCCCCCGGCCGGGGCGTCACTCACCATGTTCTTGGTGAGCTGGTCGCTTTTCTCCAGGCTGTCTCGGATGAAGGACAGCGTCTCCTCCTCCTGGGGGAGCGCAGGGAGGGCATCACCAGCAGCCCGGGCCGAAGACCACCGCGCCGCGGGCCCATGGCGCGGCCGCCCAGCCCAGCTCGGTGCAGGGAGTGCCCGGCTCACCCCCGCCTCCTCCCGGAGTGGACGCCGCGGCGCGGTGTCCGGCCCTGGCGCCCCCGGCCCCAGCCCACCTGCTTCAGCTTGTCCTCAATTTCCCGCCGCCGGGCGGACGCCTCCTGCGGGGGGATCATCCTTACGACCCCGCGACTCCCACTCCCAGGGTTTTGTGTCAGCAGTGTGCCTTCTCGGCTTCCGTCCCTGTCACACCCACTTCCGCCCTCGGCCCCTCCTTGAGTGCGCCGCCGGCGGCCGCGGAAGTGCCCCTGCGCGGGGCAACGGGACAGCTGCGGTCGGCAGCCATCTTGGGTGTGGCGGGGAAGTGTGGCTCCGCACCGGCCCAGAGGCCTCCTTCAGCACTTCTCTGCTCTGAACAGCAGCCAGCCCGGGAAAAATACCGCTAACGTCTTGCTCTATAGGCCTCAGGAAGGGGCGTATCTATGATTGTGAACAAAATCTTTGAACTTTGTACAATGTCATTGCACTTTTGTAAATGAACTAAATACAAGGGGAATTATCTCCTCGTATGTATCACCTAAAACCCAGAATTATCTTCTGGAGGGCGAGCCCCTTGTAGAGCACACCTTCCCCCAGCTAAGTGAGTGTTCTAGGAACCCTTCTGGATTAGTGCACCAGCTGGCGTTGTTGTGAGAGGCTGCGTTCGGTTTCAGTATATTTTTTTTGTGAAGACTCTTTCAACATGTCTGCCGATTTCACAATGGGTGATAAGAGCGCACCTGCCCACACAGCGCTCAGTGTTCAGCAGTTAAAAAATTTTTAAAGAAGATTTTATTTATTTCCAGAGAGAGGGGAAGGGAGGAAGAAAGAGAGGGAGAGAAACATCAATGTGTGGTTGCCTCTCATGCCCCCTACTGGGGACCTGGCCCACAACGCAGGCCTGTGCCCTGACCAGAAATCCAACCCCCTGACCTCTTGATTTGCAGTCCCGAACTCAGTCCACTGAGTTACACCAGCCAGGCTGTTCAGCAGTTTTTAACTGAAAACGGCATGACCCTCGTGCCCCATCCTCCCTACTCACCTAGTCTCTCCCTGAGCACCTTTTTTTGTTGTTTGTTTCCCTGGATGAAAAATGTCCTCACAGGGAAACATTTTGCTGATATGGAGGAGGTACAACAAAAAATGGCAGAATCACCAAAAGGCACCACAACCGACGAGTTCAAAAATGTTTTGAGCCGTGGACAAAACATCTCCCTAGGTGCATTGCTTCAAACGGAGAGTACTTTGACGGTGACTGAAGTTTAAGCATGTGAGAATAAATACACAATTTTTAAATAAACAAACTCCGTTTGGGGGGTTCCCACATGTGTGTGCTGTTTTGTGTATCCTCAAATTTCTTTCACTAAGTGTGATTTGGTAGCCAGCTGCGGTGTACTAAGAGCCTTCTGTTTGCCCACCTCTGTTACAAACGCCTTCCTTGCTCCTTATCTTGTCTAATCCTCACAATACACTTCCGAGAGCGGGGCACAGCTGAGGAAGCTCAGGCTCTGCGAGGTCAGCTGCGCTAAATCAACACAGCTGGGCAGCAGGTGGGTTCTCTGCTCCCCTCCCCCGGGCTTGGTCGCTCAGGAGGTTGGTTGGTTGCTATGCAAAGCTGCCAATCTGACTTTCAAGAAAATCCACTGTGAAAAGCAGGCTATGTATTTGACAGCCACATCTAGAAAAATGTAGTGAGAATGGAAACAGGAGTTGAAACTGTTTTCAGCCCCCAAAGCAGGCCCGCAGATGCAGTACAAGCTGTCATCCCCAACTAGCCTGAGTACAAGCCGCTGCGGTGAAAGGAGCAAGTGGTGTGTCAGGTGCAGTTTCAGAAGACTTCTTTCTCTTTCACAAACAGGTGCAGGACGCAGGTGCCATTCACAGCCCAGCCCCGCTGCCAACCGGCAGAGATGCTCTTTCCAGAATGGGGGAGGGGGAGGATGAGCTCCCTCCCCCAACAGTGTTTTGGGTTTTTTTAATGGTAATTTCCTGATTCCAGACTTGGTGTTTCTTCTGAGGCGTCAGGTGTAACACTCCCCCAACATAGTGTTTCCTGGCCCTGCAGCCCTATAAGAGTGTGTGCACTGTGACGTGGGCAGCCTCTACGATAGTCTGTTCCCTGGACTACAGCCGCTTAAAGGGACGGGCGTGCTGCAAACAAACAACCTGGGGAAACACCGCGGAACACGAGGAGGGTCAGTTGAGTATAAGGGCTGCTCTGTTTTTCTAGTTTCTAAAGATGGTGAGTTTTACTTATCTTCCTATGAAAACGTTTCTAAGAAATTTTCCTTTTTTTGTAATGATCGAAAATAGTCTTTTTTTTTTTTTCATTCAGAAAGTACCAGCCATCAACAGTGCACCTGACAGGAGGGCTCAGGAGGGCTTCTTCCCCCTTGAAACCCTTCTATGTCTAAAACAAGAGAAAGGCGTGCAAAGCCCAGGAAGGCACAGCCTGTCGTGCGCTTTCCTATCAGGAAGAGAGAGCAAAGGAAAGATCTAGTGTGCTTCCAGTCACGTGTGGGCTCAGAATGAGAGCAGTTTGCCTTTAAGACAGCTTCCAAATTCCATGTGGTTCTATTCAAACTGCAGAGAAGGTAGGTAGTAAAACACAAACAGCGCGCTCCTCCGCTGCCTTGACCCCCAAGCATCTGTGCTCCGGAAGCAACCCCAAATCCAGGCATACTATACACAGAATAAGCTCTTCTTTCTTTTTCTTGAAGAAAGCAAACGCTGTCACGTTAAACATTTTCTCGTCGCCGGCGTGTTCACTTAATAGCATACCCTGATCAGCTGTCAATACTGACGCTGGAGATGTGCTCCCCTGTTCGCCCAGACTTCCACCCACTGGATCACAGAGTGGTCCTCCGTCAACGGGCACTTGGGTTGTTTCCAGGTTTTTTCCTGTTGGAGACTCTGTCTCATGTAGGTAGCTGGCTCGTGCATGAGCACACCTGTACAGACATCTAGATATTACCAAATTAAAACACATATATCTCTAAAATTTCTGCAGAAATGCCCTGGCTGGCGTAGCTCAGTGGATTGAGCACAGGCTGCGAACCAAAGTGTCGCAGGTTCGATTCCCAGTCAGGGCACATGCCTGGGTTGCAGGCCATGACCCCCAGCAACCGCACATTGATGTTTCTTTCTCTCTCTCTCTCTCCCCCTCCCTTCCCTCTCTAAAAATAAATAAAATTTTTAAAAAATTCTGCAGAAATATGCAAATTGCCACCCCAAATGGTTGAACTCATCTCTACTCCCGATAGCAAAGTATTATGTGCTGATTCCTCTACACCCTAACTCATACTACGTATTATTGACTTTAACATTTTTGCCAAACTGATCAATGAAAAATGGCATCTCACGTGCAATTTTGAACTAAATGAAAAGGAAAATACAACGTATCGATATTTGTGGGATGCAGGGATAGCAGCGAGGAGAGGGAAGTTTACTGAATGCATACGCTGTGGGGAAACCAAGGTCCAAAACGAGTCATCTGAGTTTCCACCTTGGAAAACTGGGAAAAAGCAAAAGCCAGCTCTGGCTGGAGTAGCTTAGTGGATTGAGTGTGAGCTGCAAACCAAAGTGTCGCAGGTTCGATTCCCAGTCAGGGCACATGCCTGGGTTGCAGGCCATGGCCCACAGCAACCGCACATTGATGTTTCTCTCTCTGTCTCTATCTCCCTCCCTTCCCTCTCTAAAAATAAATAAATAAAACAAGAAAAGAAAAAAGTAAAAGCAAATTAAATCCAAAATAAGCAGAACGAGAGAAATAAAACTTAGAGCAGAAATCAATAAAACTGAAGGCAGGAAATTGATAGAGAGAAGTCAAGGAAATCAAAAGTCGGTCCTTTGAAAAGATCAATAAAATGAATAACCTCTAGTTAGGCTAATCAAGAAAATAGAAGATACCAATTACTAATACCAGGAATGAATTGGGAGCATCATTACTGACCCCCATGGACATTAAAAGGATGCTACAGGGGTATTATAAACAACGCTATGTCCTCCAATTTGATAACTTAGGTGAAACAGATCTATTTCTTGAAAGACGGAATTTACCAAAACTCACACAAGGAGAAATAAATAATCTGAATAGGCCTATAGCTAGTACAAAAATTGAATCAATGAATAAGATTCCAAAACAGAAAGCACCAGGCCCAGATGGTCTCACTGATGAATCCTACGGGACATTAATGTAGTACACAGAAGCATTTCAGAAGACAGAAGCAGAGGGAACCCTTCCTAGCTCATTCTGTGAGGTCGGCATTACCCTAATCCCAAAACTAGCAGAAGACATCACAAGAAAAAAACTACAGACCAATATCTCTCATAAAAACAGCTGCAAAAATACTAAAAATATTAGCAAAGTCGATTCCAAAGATGTATAAAGAGAATTACCACAACTATGTGGGATTTATTTCAGGTATGCAACACTGGTTCAACGGAATCGTATAACTTAATTACACACTTCATGTTCAGTATTTCCTTCTTGGCTTTGAAAAAAAACAACAACAACCAACCAACCATAAGCCTCTGATTTTGTTTAATTTTTTTTTTTTTCTGATGGGCTTTAAAATCATTTTCACAACTGCAAATTGAACTCAGGTGCTCCAAGAGGCTGGGGGGGTGGGGAAATGTCGCAGGGATCCACGCCCACTTCCGGGATGGAGGCAAAGTGTGACCCCGGGAAGGGAGGGCGGGAGGCTGCCCAGGGCCCTCCCGCAGCAGCTGCCGAGGCTGCCACAGCGGGGAGCCGGAGCTCCGGGGCAGGGGCTGCAGCGCCGCCGAGGGTGGATCAAAGGCAGGCAAGAAGCACCTGGTCTTCACAGAGGAGCGATCGAGTGAGGGGGTGCTGGGCCTCCAGGCAGGGAGGCATCATGGGGGTGCAGGCAGACCTGGGCTGCCTCTCTGGTACCCGACCCGACACGGAGGGTGCCCACCAAATCTGTGATGGACAAATAAATAACTAAGTGATGGCGGACCAAGGGGTGGACCTGGGTGTGTGTCGGGTATCCAGAGTCGGGGACCAAGGGGAAAGCGGTCGGCGCGCCGTTGGAGACCACTGGACCCTCTGCGCCCTGCACATGACAGCCACATACATACTCACGAGGAGCAGCAGCACCACACAGATGTGGCTGAGAAGACGCGCTAGTGCCCTCTGCCCCTCTGTGCCCCCCCAACCCCCGCTCCTCATCCCCCCACCCCAACTTG